GGGCAGCAATTTCAGGATTATCAGGGAATCCACAGAAATTCCTTTTGTGGGCAGAGTTAAGCCTTAGGAAGTGAAACAGATGCTCTGAGAAAGAAAACTGTGGTAGAACAAACGCTGATAAGATCAGGGCTGCTGCCCTGAGCTGCAAGTTCTCAGGCAGGGAGAGCCAAGGGGTAATTACTGCCCACAGCAGCTCCTGCAATGGGAACCTTGCTAATAACAGAGCTCAATTCAGCAGCCCCCAGCTTCAAAGGCAGCCCCTGAAAACATCTGAGTGATTTCAGGAATGGCAGGGAGGATGGGGAAGGGAAGGGCTGAGCTTTTACCATTAATTGCATTTTTTTTTTAAATGAAGTTCCTTGCATGTGTTTCCATGTGCAAACAGGAACCTGCTGCCTCATCCTTGAGGAAAAGCTGGGCTCTCTGAATTCCTCCTGCTCCCAAGGACTCAGAGGAACCAGGATTGATTTGGGGTGAGAAGAGGGATCCTCAGTGCCAGCCCAGAGCCACTGATCCACCCCAGAGTGAGAAAAACACAAGGGAATGAAGGATTCCAGCTGCTGGCAGCTCCTGAGTGCAGCCTGAGCTCCTGGGAGCTGCCACCAACCCCACAAACCAACGTGGCACTGAATTCATCCTACAGTGATTTGTCTGCCTCCTTCCCCTGCCTCAGGATCCCAACTCACCTCTGCAGGGGAGGAGCTGGGCACCCTCTGAATTTCCATTTCCCTTTCCTTGGGGAATCCTCTGAATTTCCATTTCCCTTTCCTTGGGGAATCCTCTGAATTTCCTTTTTCCTTTCCTTGGGGAATCCTCTGAATTTCCTTTTTCCTCTCCTTTTCTTGGGGAATCCTCTGAATTTCCTTTTTCCTTTCCTCTCCTTGGGGAATCTCTGAATTTCCTTTTTCCTTTCCTCTCCTTGGGGAATCTCTGAATTTCCTTTTTCCTTTCCTCTCCTTGGGGAATCTCTGAATTTCCATTTCCCTTTCCTTTCCTTGGGGAATCTCTGAATTTCCTTTTTCCTTTCCTCTCCTTGGGGAATCTCTGAATTTCCATTTCCCTTTCCTTTCCTTGGGGAATCCTCTCAATTTCCTTTTTCTTCTCCTTTCCCTTTTCTTAGGGAATGCTCTGAATTTCCATTTCCCTTTCCTTTCCTTTCCTTGGGGAATCCTCTGAATTTCCATTTCCCTTTCCTTTCCTTGGGGAATCCTCCGAATTTCCATTTCCTTTTCCTCTCCTTTCCTTGGGGAATCCTCTCAATTTCCATTTCCCTTTCCTCAGGGAATCCTCTGAATTTCCTTTTTCCTTTCCTTTCCTTTGGGAATCCTCTCAATTACCTTTTTCCTTTCCTTGGGGAATCCTCTCAATTTCCATTTCCCTTTCCCCTTCCTTGGGGAATCCTCTGAATTTCTTTTTTCCTTTCCTTTGGGAATCCTCTGAATTTCCTTTTTCCTTTCCTTTCCTTGGGGAATCCTCTGAATTTCCATTTCCCTTTCCTTTCCTTGGGGAATCCTCTCAATTTCCTTTTTCTTCTCCTTTCCCTTTTCTTAGGGAATGCTCTGAATTTCCATTTTCCTTTCCTTTCCTTGGGGAATCTCTGAATTTCCTTTTTCCTTTCCTTTCCTCAGGGAATCCTCTGAATTTCCATTTCCCTTTCCTTGGGGAATCCTCTGAATTTCCATTTCCCTTTCCTTTCCTTGGGGAATCCTCTGAATTTCCATTTTCCTCTTCTTTCATTTTCCCCTTTCTTGGGGAATCCTCTAAATTTCCATTTTCCTTTTCTTTCCTTTTCCCTTTTCTTGGGGAATCCTCTGAATTTCCATTTCCCTTTCCCTTTCTTTCCTTGGGGAATCCTCTGAATTTCCATTTCCCTTTCCTTTCCTTGGGGAATCCTCTGAATCTCCATTTCCCTTTCCTTGGGGAATCCTCTGAATTTCCATTTTCCCCTTTCTTGGGGAATCCTCTAAATTTCCATTTTCCTTTTCTTTCCTTTTCCCTTTTCTTGGGGAATCCTCTGAATTTCCTTCATTTTCCCTCTTTCCTTTCCCCTTTTCTTTTCCCTTTCCCCTTCCCCTTTTCTTTCCCCTTTCCCCTTCCCTCCCCTGGAATATAAAGTGCTCTGGCTCCCAGGATCAGGTCACATCCCCCTGCACCCAAAAATCCACAATTCCAAGATCCCTGAGGTCTGACAAGAAGTAACTCCAGTGAGGCATCAGCAGGGAGCTGCCTGCACCTAAAATGACCAAACCACCAGGTTTTCCCCCAGATCCCACCCCACAAAGACTCTCACAGAGCAGGGAAACCCATAAAGCCCCAAACATGTCCCAAGCTCCTGGCACATCCCTCCTGGCACTTTGGGGTAAAAAAACTGGGATTATTTTGGTACAAAATGGTTGGAAACAGGAGAGTTTCTGCTCTAAAAGAATTCTGAGTGAAATTCATATTATTTCCTTCAAGTTTTGAATTAAGGCAGGAAGGATTTGCTGGGCTGGCCCTAAATCCAACTTTCAGCAGGGGCTGCAGGTGAGAGCAGCAATGGGGATAAAACATGGAAATAAACACAAAATTTGCACTTTGTGTCCCCTCAGATTGTCCTTCTTGGGGGGAAAGTGACCAAATTCGGGTCATCCCACTCTCATTTGGGGGTTTCAGAACACACCCAGCTTGGGGGAACAAAGCAAAAACCAACCCCAAACACACCCTGAGCTCCTGGCACTTTGGGGGAAAAAAGTGGGATTATTTTGGTACAAAATGGTTGGAAACAGGAGAGATTCTGCTCTAAAAGAATTCTGAGTGAAATTCATATTATTTCCTTTAATTTTTGATTTAGGGCAGGAAGGATTTGCTGGGCTGGCCCTAAATCCAACTTTCAGCAGGGGATGGAGGTGAGAGCAGCAATGGGGATAAAACATGGAAATAAACACAAAATTTGCACTTTGTGTCCCCTCAGATTGTCCTTCTTGGGGGGAAAGTGACCAAATTCGGGTCATCCCACTCTCATTTGGGGGTTTCAAAACACACCCAGCTTGAGGGAACAAAGCAAAAACCAACCCCAAACACAACCCGAGCTCCTGGCACCTCCCTCCTGGCACTTTGGGGCAAAAGAAGTGGGATTATTTTGGTAAACAGGAGAGTTTCTGGTCTAAAATACCAGAATTCTGAGTGAAATTCATTTATTTCCTTTAAGTTTTGATTTAGGGCAGGAAGGATTTGCTGGGCTGGCCCTAAATCCAACTTTCAGCAGGGGATGGAGGTGAGAGCAGCAATGGGGATAAAACATGGAAATAAACACAAAATTTGCACTTTGTGTCCCCTCAGATTGTCCTTCTTGGGGGGAAAGTGACCAAATTCGGGTCATCCCACTCTCATTTGGGGGGTTTCAAAACACACCCAGCTTGGGGGAACAAAGCAAAACCCCAAACACACCCCGAGCTCCTGGCACTTTGGGGGAAAAAAGTGGGATTATTTTGGTACAAAATGGTTGGAAACAGGAGAGATTCTGCTCTAAAAGAATTCTGAGTGAAATTCATATTATTTCCTTCAAGTTTTGAATTAAGGCAGGAAGGATTTGCTGGGCTGGCCCTAAATCCAACTTTCAGCAGGGGCTGCAGGTGAGAGCAGCAATGGGGATAAAACATGGAAATAAACACAAAATTTGCGCTTTGTGTCCCCTCAGATTGTCCTTCTTGGGGGGAAAGTGACCAAATTCGGGTCATCCCACTCTCATTTGGGGGTTTCAGAACACACCCAGCTTGGGGGAACAAAGCAAAACCCCAAACACACCCTGAGCACCTGTCACCTCCTTCCTGGCACTTTGGGACAAAAAAAAGGGATTATTTTGGTCCAAAATGGTTGGAAACAGGGGCGATTCTGCTCTAAAATACCAGAATTCTGAGTGAAATTCATATTATTTCCTTCAAGTTTTGAATTAAGGCAGGAAGGATTTGCTGGGCTGGCCCTAAATCCAACTTTCAGCAGGGGATGGAGGTGAGAGCAGCAATGGGCATAAATCCTGGAAATAAACACAAAATTTGCACTTTGTGTCCCCTCAGACTGACCTTCCTGGGGGGAAAGTGACTAAATTTGGGTCATCCCATTCTCATTTGGGGTTTAGGGGGTTTTAAAACACACCCAGCTCGGGGGAACAAAGCAAAAACCAACCCCAAACACACCCTGAGCTCCTGGCACCTCCCTCCTGGCACTTTGGGGCAAAAAAATTGGGATTATTTTGGTAAAAAATGGTTGGAAACAGGAGAGTTTCTGGTCTAAAATACCAGAATTCTGAGTGAAATTCATATTATTTCCTTCAAGTTTTGATTTAGGGCAGGAAGGATTTGCTGGGCTGGCCCTAAATCCAACTTTCAGCAGGGGATGGAGGTGAGAGCAGCAATGGGGATAAAACATGGAAATAAACACAAAATTTGCACTTTGTGTCCCCTCAGATTGTCCTTCTTGGGGGGAAAGTGACCAAATTCGGGTCATCCCACTCTCATTTGGAGGGTTTCAAAACACACCCAGCTTGAGGGAACAAAGCAAAAACCAACCCCAAACACAACCCGAGCTCCTGGCACTTTGGGACAAAAAAAAGGGATTATTTTGGTACAAAATGGTTGGAAACAGGAGAGATTCTGCTCTAAAAGAATTCTGAGTGAAATTCATATTATTTCCTTTAATTTTTGATTTAGGGCAGGAAGGATTTGCTGGGCTGGCCCTAAATCCAGCTTTCAGCAGGGGCTGCAGGTGAGAGCAGCCATGGGGATAAAACATAGAAATAAACACAAAATTTGCACTTTGTGTCCCCTCAGACTGACCTTCTTGGGGGAAAAAGTGACCAAATTCGGGTCATCCCACTCTCATTAGGGGGTTTCAGAACACACCCAGCTTGGGGGAACAAAGCAAAACCCCAAACACACCCCGAGCTCCTGGCACTTTGGGGCAAAGAAGTGGGATTATTTTGGTCCAAAATGGTTGCAAACAGGGGCGATTCTGCCAGCACTGACCTGTTTGAGCGGCTCGTCCAGGCGCCAGCCGGGGCGGCCCGCGGGGGCTGCGCAGCGCTGGGCGGGGTCTGTGCCCGGCTCCTCCCTGCCCTGCTGGGTGCCCGCCACGGGGCTGGCACCGCAGCCCGCTCTGCCCTTGGCGTGGGCACCTTTGGGAGCGCGGAAACACGGCAGGGCAGAGCAGCTCTCCTGGCCGGGCACCCCGGGGCCATCCTCCAGCTCGGCGCCGTCTTCTTCATCATCCTCCTCCTCATCCTCCTCCTCTTCATCGTCCTCCTCCTCCTCAGAGTTGCCGCTGCTCTGCTCCAAGGGCCGGCCGGCTGCAGCGGGGGCTCTGCCCGCGGTGGGGACAGCGGAGGGGACAGCGGGGGGCACCCCCCGGGCGCGGGGCTGCCCGGGGAAGGGCGGCGGTGTCGGGAACGGCACCTGCGGCTCCCGGCGGCGCTCCCGGCAATCCATGGACACCGCCGGCTGCTGCTGCTGTTGCTGCTGCTGCTGTTGCTGCTTCTGCAGCTGCTCCAGCACCGCCTGCAGCTTCATCCCGCCGTGCGCATGGCTGGCGGCCCCGGCGGGAGCCGCGCAGGATCTGCCGGGGACACAAACGCTGCTGAGGCAGAGCGGCCGGAGCTGCTGCTTTCATCTCTTCCCCAGGAAGGGAGGGGATGGACGGAGCAGAGCCGGGGCTCTTTCCTGTGCAGGAGACCGTGAAACAATCAGCGAGGCTTTAACAGCCCCGGGCGGCAGCGGGTGGCGTGGCGTGGGGTGTGCGGCTCTGCGCTGCCCCAAGGTGCCCCAGGGCTTGGTGCGGGACACGCTCCACCAAAGGAGCTGCTGCGAGGGCAGCGCTGGGGCTGCCTAAGAGGACACAGCCAGGAGGAGCTTGGCCACATTTATATTAAAAAAAAAAAAAAAAAAAATTATATATATATATATATATATATATATATATATGCGCGTGTGTGTGTGTATGTGTGTGTATGCCAGGCTATCCCTGTGGATAGAAATTCTTCTGTGCTCTCACTCTGCGGCTAAATCCCTGCCACTTCATAGGAAAAAATAGAAATAAATAATAAGAAATAAATTTAAAAATAAGTTATATATATGTACACATATACATATATTTGTAACCAAATATATATATAGATATAGATAGATATGTATATATATGCACACCCGTGCCAGGCTACCCCTAAATTCTTTTGTGCTCTCACTCCACGGCTGAATCCCTGCCACTTCATAGGAAAAATATAAATAAACTTAAAAATAAATTTTATATATGTATCTCCATATGTTTATATCCATATACATATATATAATTCATTTATATATAGAGAGAGATAAATATATATATATGTATGTATATAAATGCACACCTCTGCCAGGCTACCCCTAAATTCTTCTGTGCTCTCACTCCGTGGCTAAATCCCTGCCACTTCGTAGGAAAAAACAGAAATAAATAATATAAATAAAAATAAATTTTATATATATATCCATATATATCCATATATTTAAGTCCATATATATATATATGGAAATATATGTGCATATATATGGATATATATGTGTATATATATATGTGTATATATATATGTGTGTGTGTGTGTATATATATATACACACCCCTGCCAGGCTATCCCTAAATTCTTCTGTGGCTAAACCCCTGCACTTCTTAGAAATAACTAAATAACTAACTAAAAAACTAACTACAGAACTAACTAATTTAAATAAAAATATGAATAAATAAAAAAGAAATAATAGATAAATAAAAATAAAAATAAATTAAAAGAAATTTAAAATAAATAAATTTTAAAAAATTAAATAAAAATAAATGTAAAATAAAAATAAATGTAAAATAACAATGAATTTAAAATAAAAATGAATTTTCAAATAAAAAATGAATTTTCTAATAAAGAAATTAAATTAAAAAATTTAAATAAAAACAAATTTTAAAATAAATAAATTAAATAAAAATGAATGTAATATAAAAATAAGGAAATAAAAAATTTAAAATAAAATTTAATATAAATAAATACATCGTTTTAAAAACAATAAAAATAAATAAATAAATTTATTAGCTAAATAAGATTTTAAATAAATAAATAAATGAATGAATAAATAAATACAGCTGCTATGTGGGCCCTGCTGAGGCAGCACTGGAGAGAGCCCAGCAGGGCAGCCCCGGGCTGGGAGCAGAGCTGGGGACAAACCCTGCAAAAAGGCATGAAATCTGCACTTTGTGTCCCCCAGATTGTCCTTTTTGGGGGAAAAGTGACCAAATTTGGGGTTTGGAGGGTTTCACAACACACCCAGCTCAGGGGAACAAAGGAAAAACCAACGCCAAACACCCCCTGAGCTCCTGGCACCTCCCTCCTGGCACTTTGGGGCAAAAAAAAAGGATTTTTTGGGGGGGAAAAAAGGATTGGACCTTTCATGGCCCTGCCTCGCTTTCAGGGTCACTTTTGGTGTTTTTCCCCAGTTTTTTATGTCCCTCCCTCACTTTCAGGGTCCCCCATGACTTTGGGTGTCCCTCCCTCACTTTTTGTGGCCCTCCCCCATTTTTTGTGTCCCTGCCTCCCATTCAGGGTCACTTTTTGTGTCCCTTCTTTACTTTCAGGGTCATTTTTGGTGGCCCTCCCTCACTTTCTGGGTCACTTTTTGTGTCCCTCCCTCACTTTCAGGGTCTCCCTTCTGTCACTTTTGTTGCCTCTCCCCCATTTTTTTGTGTCCCTCCTTCACTTTTAGGGTCACTTTTGATCTCCCTCCCTTGCTTTTTGTGTCTCTCCCTCACTTTTAGGGTCTCCCTCCATCACATTCAGGATCACTTGTGGTGTCCCTCCCTCACTTTCAGTGTCACTTTTTGTGTCCTTCCTTCACTTTTAGGGACACTTTTGGTGTCTCTCTCTCACTTTTGGTGTCCCTCCCTCACTTTCAGGGTCTCCCCCTGTCATTTTTAGCTTCTCTCCCTCACTTTTTCTGTGCCTGCTTCACTTTCAGGGTCATTTTTGGTGTCTTTCCCCAGTTTTTTGTGTCCCTGCCTCACTTTCAGGGTCTCTTTTTGTGCCTCTCTCTCCCATTTGGGGTCACTTTTTGCATCCCCCCCCCGCCCCCCTCAGTTTTAGGGTGTCTCTCCCTCACTTTGTGTTCCCTTCCCTCACTTTTAGGGTCTCCCCCTGTCATTTCTTGTGTCCCTGCCTCACTTTCAGGGTCACTTTTGGTGTCCCTCCCTCACTTTTTGTGGCCCTGTCTCATTTTCGGGCTCTCTCCCCGTCATTTTTTGTGCCCCCGCTTCACTTTTTGCGACTCTCCCTCACTTTCAGGGTCACTTTTGTGTCCCTCCCTCACATTCAGGCTCATTTTTTGGTGTCCCCCCTCACCTTCACGCTCATTTTTTGTGTCCCCCCTCACCTTCACGTTCTCCCCCGGTTTTCAGAGCCTGAATCCCGCACTCCGGAGGGGCCGGGCCGAGTTTCCCCACCCATGGCCGGGTTTTAATGCCCCGTGCAAGCCCTCCCAGCCCCTTTAACTCCCGTTTTTAACCGGCTCTCTCGGCAAGCAGCGTTCGGGAACCGCCTGCAAGACTTAAACCCGCACCGAGGGCCGGTAATTAATTAATCAATTAATTAACTAATTAACGACCCCCCGTTTTACCGCGGGATCCACCGAGGGCTCCGACCCGACCCTCCCCTCAGGCGGAAATACCGAGGGTTCCCCCCCCCCACCCACCTCTCAGCACCGCGGCTTCCCCCGTTACCTCCCGTGGCGGGTCCCGCCGGTCCGTGCGCGGCCGCCTCAGCTCCTCCTTCCTTCCTTCCTTCCGTCCTCCCCTCCTTCCTTTCCTTTCCCTTCCTTTCCTTTCCCTTCCCTTTCCTTTCCCTTCCTCCTTCCCCCCTCCCGCCCCTTCCTCGCCCGGCCGGAAGCACCGGAAGCGCCCGCACCGCTTCCGGGAACGGCCCGCGGGGAGGAGGAGGGAGGGAAACCTGCAGCCAATCAGAGAGCGCGATGCCGGCCGCCTTCCGGTTCCGGGTGGTATAAAAAGCGCGCGCGGCGCGCGGGCCCGGCAGTCGCGGAGGAGGCGCCGCCGGGGGCTGAGGGAGTGCGTGAGGGTGAGCGGGCTCCTGCGAACGCTCGGAGTCGAGCGGCGCATCGTGAATGGCGTTTAGGGGTCGCCCCGTGTCTGTTTGGGCTTTGAGGAGTGGCTTGGGCGTCCCTCGGAGGGAGGGTTAAGGTCTCATTATGTCTGTTCGAGCTCTGAGGGTGGGTTTAGAGGGGTTCTCTGTGTCCCTTTGAGCCTTTAGCGTGGGTTTAAGCGTCTCTCAGGAGGATTTAGCGGCTTCTCCGTGTGTGTTTGGGCTTTTGGGGGGGATTTTAGGGGTGTATCTCTCTGGGAAGGAGTTAAGGTCCTTTCACGTCAACTTAGGCCCTCAGACGGGGCTTAGGGCCCCTCTATGTCTAGTTGGCCTCTTAATGCAGGGTTGGGGTCCCCCAATGTCTGTTTGGCCTCTTAAGGCAGGGTTAGGGGTCCCCCAATGTCTCTTTGGAGCTCTAGGGAGGGTTAGGGGTCCCCCAATGTCTCTTTGGAGCTCTAGGGAGGGTTAGGGGTCCCCCGATGTATATTTGGCCTCTCAGGGCAGGGTTGGATGTCCCCCAATGTCTGTTTGGCCTTTTAGGATAGAGGTAGGGCTCCCCCTCATGCGTGTTTGGGCCCTTAGGCAGAGTTGGGGGTTCCCCAATGTTTGTTCAGGCTCTGAGTGTGGGATTTAGGGTTCCCCTGTGTCTGTCTGGTCCCTCAGGGAAGGTTGGGATCTGCTGCTGTGGTCCTTGGGGTGGGATTAGGGCTTCCCCCGTGTGTGTTTGGGTCCTTGGGGTGGGTGGGCTCTGGCAGGGATGGTTCTTGGTGCTGGGGACCTTAATTCCCTCAGGTCTGTGCTGGTGGGGGGCTGTGTAGGGGGGGGTTCCCTCAGATCCCTAGGAAAGGACTGGGAATCTCAGAACATTTTGGGTTGGAAGATCCTCAAGGATGTTTCCACTTCCACCCCCTGTCATGGACAGGGCCACCTTCCACAGCCCCATGCTTGTCGTCTGGGGGACTGCATTTATTCCTACGTGTGTTCTGAGGCCATGAAGCGATATTTTACCTCCCTGCCTTGCCCTGCACACCCCTCAGGGCTTAATTCCCACCCTCCCTGGTGCATCCCTGCCCATCCCCACGGGCAGGGAGTGCTACCCCGCTGTCTCTCTACCCTCAGACCGGGCAGGATGGCGGACGAGGAGATCGCTGCCCTGGTGGTGGACAACGGCTCGGGGATGTGCAAGGCGGGGTTTGCTGGCGATGACGCCCCCCGCGCCGTCTTCCCCTCCATCGTGGGGCGGCCGCGGCACCAGGGCGTCATGGTGGGCATGGGCCAGAAGGACAGCTACGTGGGCGACGAGGCACAGAGCAAGAGGGGCATCCTCACCCTCAAGTACCCCATCGAGCACGGCATCGTCACCAACTGGGACGACATGGAGAAGATCTGGCACCACACCTTCTACAACGAGCTGCGCGTGGCGCCCGAGGAGCACCCGGTGCTGCTCACCGAGGCGCCCCTCAACCCTAAAGCCAACAGGGAGAAGATGACGCAGATCATGTTCGAGACCTTCAACACCCCGGCCATGTACGTGGCCATCCAGGCCGTGCTGTCCCTCTACGCCTCGGGCCGCACCACGGGCATCGTGATGGACTCCGGCGACGGCGTCACGCACACGGTGCCCATCTACGAGGGCTACGCCCTGCCCCACGCCATCCTGCGCCTGGACCTGGCCGGCCGCGACCTCACCGACTACCTCATGAAGATCCTCACCGAGAGGGGCTACAGCTTCACCACCACGGCCGAGCGCGAGATCGTGCGCGACATCAAGGAGAAGCTGTGCTACGTGGCACTGGACTTCGAGCAGGAGATGGCCACGGCCGCCTCCTCCTCCTCGCTGGAGAAGAGCTACGAGCTGCCCGACGGGCAGGTCATCACCATCGGCAACGAGCGCTTCCGCTGCCCCGAGTCCATCTTCCAGCCCTCCTTCCTGGGCATGGAGTCCTGCGGCATCCACGAGACCACCTTCAACTCCATCATGAAGTGTGACGTGGACATCAGGAAGGATCTGTACGCCAACACCGTGCTCTCCGGGGGCACCACCATGTACCCGGGCATCGCCGACCGCATGCAGAAGGAGATCACGGCGCTGGCTCCCAGCACTATGAAGATCAAGGTGGGCACGGTGTGGTGGTTGTGAGGGTCTCTAGGATGAGGTGTGAGATGAGGAATCTGACTCCGTGTTCTCAGAAGGCTAATTTAGTATTATATTATGTTAAAAGAATGCTATACTAAAGTAAAAGATGAGGAATCTGACTCCATGTTCTCAGAAGGCTGATCTATTATAATATAGTATCATTTTATGATATTATATTAAAAGAATACTATACTAAAGAAAAAGATGAGGAATCTGATTCAGTGTTCTCAGAAGGCTGACTTATTATTATAATATACTATAATTTTATGATATTATATTAAAAGAATACTATACCAAAGTAAAAGATGAGGGATCTGATTCCATATTCCTAGAAGGCTCGTCTATTATTATAATATAATAATATTTTATGGTATTATATTAAAAGAATACTATACTAAAGAAAAAGATGAGGGATCTGATTCCATATTCCCAGAAGGCTGATCTATTATTATAATATAATAATATTTTATTATATTATATTAAAAGACTGCTATACTAAAACTGTACTAAAGAAAAAGAGGAGGAATCTGACTCCATATTCTCAGAAGGCTGATCTATTATTATAATATCATATCATGTTATGATATTATATTATTATAATGCTATACTAAAGAAAAAGATGAGGAATCTGACTGTGTGTTCTCATCAGGCTGATCTATTATAATACCATTCTATGATATATTAAAAGAATGCTCTACTAAAGAAAAAGATGAGGAATCGGGTTCCATGTTCTCAGAAGGCTGATTTATTATTATATTATTTTAAAATAATGCTATACTAAAACTACACTAAAGAAAAAGATGAAGAATCTGGCTCTATGTTCTCAGAAGGCTAATTTATTAATATAGTATATATTATAATATATATTATAATAATGCTATACTAAAGGAAAAAAGGAGGAATCTGACTCCATGGTCTCAAAAAGCTGATTTATTATTTTGTGATATTATAGTTTATTAAAAGAATGCTATACTAAAACTACACTAAAGAAAAAGATGAAGAATCTGCCTCCATATTCTCAGAAGGCTGGTTTGTTATTTTATGATATTCTATTAAAAGAATGCTATACTGTCACAGACATATTTTCTGAAAAATCCTTTCACTAGGATTTTTCTCCTGAGAAGCCCCAGAAAGGAAATGTAAACAGTAACTATCTGATGGCTGGGGAATGTGCTCTGGGGATTGTTTACCAACAGGTGCATCTTTGATTGGTCTCATGGGAATTGTTTTCATTTAGTGACCAATGACAGCCAGGCTGTGAGCAGTCACAGGATTTCATTATCATTCCTTTCCTTGGTAGCCTTCTGCTGTCTCCTTTCTCTTTCTTTAGTATAGTTTTAATATATCATTTTCTTTTAATGTAATATGTGGTGGTGTCCCAGGATGAGGGAAGAGATGAGAATCTTGACTCCATGTTTCAGAAGGCTGATTTATTATTTTATGGTACATATTATATTAGAAGAAAGTGATATACTAAAACTATACTAAAAGGATAGAAGAAAGGATTTCATCAGAAGGCTTGCAAGGAAAAGAAAAGGAATGATAATAAAATCTTGTGACTGACCAGAGAGTCTGAGACAGCTGGGCTGTGATTGGCCATTAATTAAAAACAACCACATGAGACCAATCAAAGATGCACCTGTTGCATTCCACAGCAGCAGATAATTACTGTTTACATTTCATTCCTGAGGCCTCTCAGCTCCTCAGGAGAAAAAGCTCCTAGCAAAAGGATTTTTCATAAAATTTGTCCTTGACCATAATATATATCATAAAACAATAAATCAGCCTTCTGAAACACGGAGTCAAGGTTCTCATCTCTTCCCTCGTCCTGGGGACTCACAAACTCCACCACTCTATACTGAAGAAAAAGAAAGGATACATCAGAAGGCTTTGCAAGAATGAATAATAAAAACTCGCGACTCCTCAGAGCCTTGACACAGCTGGCCCATGATTGGTCATTAAATGAAAACAATTCATATGCTGGGTAAACAATCTCCAAAATCCCGTTCCAAAGGGAGAAGCTGAAGCTTCTCAGCTTCCCAGGAGAAGAAATCCTGGCTCAGAAGGGATTTTTCAGAAAAGATCCCAGTGTCAGGCAGGGAGGGCAGGGTGGGCACAGGGGGTGGAACAGCTCTGACCCTCTCTCTGTGTCTCTCCTGGTGCAGATCATCGCCCCCCCTGAGCGCAAGTACTCGGTGTGGATCGGGGGCTCCATCCTGGCCTCGCTCTCCACCTTCCAGCAGATGTGGATCAGCAAGCAGGAGTACGACGAGTCCGGCCCCTCCATCGTGCACCGGAAATGCTTCTAGAGGGGCTGCTGGCACCCCCTGAGCCCTGCTGGCACCATCCCCTCCTTGCTAGCAGCACCCCCCACCCTCCTGGCACCCCCTCAGACCTTGTTATTCCACTGCTCCTTAGCTCCCAGTCCCTTGTCCAGGTACTAATTAGTAATTAGTGTGTGTGTGTGTGTGTGTTTTAATGGCTCGTTAGGCTCCTGCTCCTCTTCCTCAGGCGGAGGGTTGTTCACTTTCCCTGTGTAACACCCATAGGATGACACTAAAGTTAGGTTTGTCACTTCTAGGTTTGTCACCTCTAGGTTCCTTTGTAGGAAAAGAAATAAACTTCCCAGGTTTAAACACTAAAAAAAAAAAAATAGCTCTTTTTGCTTGCTTTCTTTCAGGGGTGGGTTCTCTATCCCCTTATTGGGGTGAAAGGTTTTGGGATTCTGACCTGGCTTGAAGTTAAAGCTTAGCCTGAATTTTGTTTTCTGAATTCTCTTTAAATCCCATCACAACCCCTGTGCTGCTCGGACCATTTTAAGAGCTGTTAGGCAGCAAAGCGTGCCTGGAATGTGGCTCTTGCAGCCTGACTGGACTTTCATGGTAACTTGGCTTTTTTTAGAACACAAACAGCTCTTCTTGTCAGAAAAAGTCGGTGCCTTGGCACAGGAGTTGGTCACCGGAGCGGTGGCCTTTCCTTTTTTGGGAGAGGATGAGGAGATGGTGCAGCGGATAGCGCTGAAGAGCGGGCAGCTTCGCACAGCTGGGCCCTCCGGCGCTGGTGGGGTACCTACAGGAGCCGCTCGCCCACGGGGGAGGGATGGCAGCCGCTTAATTACTGAGGTAGCGTTAATTACAGGTGGTCGTGGCGAGGGAGCGGCACGGGACTGCGAGCCCCTCGCCGCGCTACGGCCTTTAAACCCTCGGCCGCCCGCCCATTGGCTGGTCATGGCAGAGATAGCCAATCAGCAGCGCCTTCGCCTCGGGAGGGCGTTACCGCCTGCACTGCCGGACTCGATTTCCCAGCGCGCACCGCGCTCCCCGCAGCACTTCCGCTTCCGGTCCGTTAGGGTGAGGTAGCACGGAGCTGGGAGGACCTGGGGGGACACGGCCGGGCCCCCGTGAGGTGGGGAGGGAGACACGGCCGGGATCCCCGTGAGGTGGGGAGGGGAGGGAGACACGGCCGGGATCCCCATGAGGTGGGGAGGAGAGGGAGGCACGGCCGGGCCCCCGTGAGGTAGGGAGGGGAGGGAGACACGGCCGGGGATCCCCGTGAGGTGGGGAGGAGAGGGAGACACGGCCGGGGATCCCCGTGAGGTGGGGAGGAGAGGGAGACACGGCTGGGGTTGCCTTGAGGTGGGGAGGGAGACACGGCCGGGATCCCCCTAAGCTGAGGGGAGAGTCTGCGGGGAGACCAGCCAATATCCCCCTGAGCTGAGGGTTTGGGGAGAACATGTCCCGACCCCCCTGAGCTGAGGGAGGGTCTGGGGGGGCACAGCCGGGATCCCACTGAGCTGACAGGGGAATCGGGGCTCTGGGGCCAGGGAGCCACGGCCGGGACCCCTGAGCTTAGGGGATCTGGACTGTGGGGATGGAGGAGCTGAGGTGGGAGTTGGGGCTGTGGGGATGCGGAGCCACGGCCAGGATCCCTGAGCTGAGGGGGAGATCGGGACTCTGGGGACGGGGGGCCGGGACCGGGAGCCACGGGCCGGGATGCCCCTGAGCGCCGGGGGTCGGGGCTGTGCCCGGCTGTGCCCGGCGCTCTATGGGCGCTGTGCCCGATAGATGAGGGAGGCTCGCTGTGTGCGGGGTGTCACTCGGCTGTGTCCCCAGGCGCCATGGCCCTGCCGGAGTGGCACATCGCAGTGAAGCTGGCCGAGCAGCCGCTGGCCCCCAAAGCCATCCTGCGCCTGCCCGAGACCGAGCTGGGCGAGTGCCCGCTGGGCGGCTGCAGCATCTCGCACCTCAAGCAGCTGATCACGGGCAAGCTGCAGGAATCCATGCCGGACCCCGAGCTCATCGGTGCGTGCCCCGCCGGAGCCTGGCGCCGTCCCGCCGCCTGGGGACACCCTCGGCCCGTCCTCGCCGCGGCCGGGATGCGATATCCCGCTGGTGGTGGTGGTGGTGGGAGGACTCGGTGTTCGTTCCCTGTTTCCTTGGGATGACGGCGCTCCAGCCGCGGCAGTGCCCTTGTTCGGGAATATTTGGGCTTTCCACCAGCTCTGTGTCCTTGTGAGAGCTCTCATGAGAGCTGAGAGGGAGGTCAGCTCTTACGCAGGTGGTGATTATGCCATCTCCTCTAGTTCAGCTCCGTGATTTCCCTCCTGGTTCTCAGCTCCACAGTTTCCCTGTTTTTTCCCCTAGCCAGTTGGAGCAGCTACAGCTGCTCAGTAACCCTTGGGCTCTAAGGCACACCTAGAGACCCCAGCTGGTTCTGAGAGCACCACAGGTGTTTATCTTCAGGTGTTTCTGCCCCCCAGACCTGATCTACTGTGGCCGGAAGCTGAGGGATGACCAGACCCTGGATTTTTATGGAATCCAGTCTGGCTCCACTGTCCATGTCCTGCGCAAGTCCTGGCCTGAGCCTGACCAGAAACCAGGTGAGGAGCTGTGGGGATTGCCCCTTGGATTCTCCTTGGGATGTGTTTTATTAGGGAGTGAGCTTCTCTAGGGATTCGCTGCTGTGGAGGTTTCCAGGAGAATGAATCCCCGTGTTTGGGAACTCCCCACCTCTCCCAGCAGCACCTGGGTGTTGGTTTTCCTGCTGACACTAGAGTTAAGGAATGAGCTGTGCACCATGGAGAGAGGGATCATCCCTTCCTTAATTGCCTGTGATCCATTCTAGGGCATTGCCAGGGGATCTGGAGCAAAGCCCCAGGGATGAGCAGGCTGCTGTGTGCCTGACTGTACAAAGAGAGGAGCTTGAGCTGGCATTCCTGTAATGGCACATGTGGGAGGATATTCCTGACTATTTTTATGATCTGAGAGTACAGCAAGTCATTACTCTGCAGTGACTGCACCCAAGGATGTTAGAGGATCCCTGTTGCAGCATGGGGGTCTCAGTGGGCTGTGGAGTGGCTTTGAGGGCTGTCAGAGGCCCAGCTGTGTTTTATTGTGGTGTTTTCCCCCCTCAGAGCCTGTGGATAAGGTGGCAGCAGTCCGGGAATTCCGTGTGTTGCACACTGCCCTGCACAGCAGCCCTGCCTACAGAGATGCTGTGAGTGCTCTGCTCCCTCCCGGGGGGAATTCAGCTGTCCCCTCCCTCTGGGGACAGCCACACAGTGGGTGACACTCCCAACCTGCTCTGCTTGCCCTGGCAGGTCTTCAAGATGCTGGGAAACAAGGAATCCCTGGATCAGATCATTGTGGCTACTCCCGGCCTCAGCAGCGACCCCGTGGCTCTGGGTGAGTCTGGCTGTGATCCAGAGGATCTGAGGAAGGCTTGGATTCCTGATGGGGGAAGGGACAGACACAAATCTAGGTTGAATTCCTGGTAGGGAGAAGAGAGAGTTAAAAATCCCCTCATTTTTGTCCCTTTGGAACATGAGTTGGTGACTGCTGAGGTCTCAGTCGTGATCCATTGGTGATGTTTGGAGATGGATCCTGGCTTCAGAAGGGCCAGGGAAGGGAGGGTTGGAGCTCTCATTGGGGATGGATCCTGGCTTTAGAAGGATCAGAGAAAGGGGAGATGGAGCTCTCTCCTTGGATTCAGAAGGATCAGGGAAAGAAGGGATGGAGCTCTCTCCTTGGATTCAGAAGGATCAGGGAAAGAAGGGATGGAGCTCTCATGGAGGATGGATCCTGGCTTTAGAAGGATCAGGGAAAGGAAGGATGGAGCTCTCTCCTTGGGAATGGATCTTGGCTTTAGAAAGATCAGAGAAAGAGGGATGGAGCTCTCTCCTTGGCTTTAGAAGGATCAGAGAAAGGAGGGATGGAGCTCTGTCCTTGGGAATGGATCTTGGCTTTAGAAGGATCAGGGAAAGGAGGGATGGAGCTCTCTCCTTGGCTTTAGAAGGATCAGAGAAGGGAGGGATGGAGCTCTCTCCTTGGTTTCAGAAGGATCAGGGAAGGGAGAAATGGAGCTCTCTCCTTGGGGATGGATCCTGGTTTCAGAAGAGTCAGGGAAAGGAAGGATGGAGCTCTCTCCTTGGCTTTAGAAGGATCAAGGAAAGGAGGGATGGAGCTCTCTCCCCACTGCAAAGCACTCCAAAGGGGTTCACTAAATCCAGCCTGTTGTGGGATGGTGGCAGCCTGAGGGAGGTGGAATTTAAGATGTTATAGAATGGTTGATTAAATCCAGCCTGTTGTGGGATGGTGGCAGCCCGAGGCAGGTGGAATCTGGGATGCAGTCCCAGCCTGGCTGCAGGGAGCTGGGGCCCAGCTTCCATCCTGCCCTTGAGGTGGAGCACCCACGGGATCTACAGGAAAAAGCTCCGTCCTTTTTGTCCCTTGGGTGTGTGGCTGTGACCAAGAGCCTCTCCAGGAACACAAAGGCTTCAGAGGAACAATGGGGGTGTTTGTAGTGTTTACTCATGACTCATTTCCTGGAAAACAATTCCTATTTATTTGTCCCTGTGGCTTTTGTGTGACTGGCTCCTGTTTGCTGTATCCTGTCTCACTGCCTTTCCTGGTCTGTTGCAGGAGTTCTGCAGGACAAGGATCTGTTCTCTGTGTTTGCAGACCCCAACATGCTGGACACGTAAGTTCCCTGAGCTGGGGCAGTGATTCAGCAGTGTCTTTGTGTCCCTGTGTGTCACCTCTCAGGAAACACGGATCCACTGCTTGGGTTAATCCAGAGGGTGTTTGGTGGGAGGTAGGGCCATCATCACCTCCAGACTGGGGTTCAGACCTGGATGAATTGCTCACAGCAGAGAGCTGCTCCCATGAGAACCTTGGAAAAGTCAGCATGAGTCCAGAGGGATCCTTGGAGAGCCAAGGGAAGGTCCAGCATGGGTCCAAAAGGCTCCTTGGAGAACTGAGGAAAGATCTTATGTGAATCCAGAAGGATTATTGGTGAACAAAGGCAAGGTTGGGTCCAGAAGGATCCTTGGTGAACTGAGGCCAGGTCCCCCATGGGGTCCAGAAGGATCCTTGGTGAACTGAGGCCAGGTCCCCCATGGGGTCCAGGAGGATCCTTGATGAACCAAAGCAAGGTCCAACATGAGGTCCAGGAGGATCCTTGGAGAACCAAGGAAGGGTCTAATGTGAATCCAGAATGATCCTTGGTGAGCCAAGGCCAGGTCCAATATGGGGTCCAGAAGGATCCTTAGTGAACTGAGGCAAGGCTGGGTCTAGAAAAGGTCCTTGGTGAACTGAGGCAATGTCCAGCATGGGTCCAGGAGGATCCAAGGGCAGGTCCAGCGTGGATCCAGAAGGATCCAAGGGCAGGTCCAGCGTGGGTCCCGAAGGATCCTTGGTGAACCAAGGCCAGATCCAGGAGGATCCAAGGGCAGGTCCAGCATGGATCCAGAAGGATCCAAGGGCCAGGTCCAGCGTAGATCCAGGAGGATCCAAGGGCAGGTCCAGCGTGGATCCTTGGTGATCCAAGGGCAGGTCCAGCGTGGATCCAGAAGGATCCAAGGGCAGGTCCAGCGTGGGTCCAGAAGGATCCAAGGCCAGGTCCAGCGTGGGTCCAGAAGGATCCAAGGCCAGGTCCAGCGTGGGTCCAGAAGGATCCAAGGGCAGGTCCAGCGTGGATCCAGAAGGATCCAAGGGCAGGTCCAGCGTGGATCCAGAAGGATCCAAGGGCAGGTCCAGCGTGGGTCCCGAAGGATCCAAGGGCAGGTCCAGCATGGGTCCAGGAGGATCCAAGGGCAGGTCCAGCGTGGATCCAGAAGGATCCAAGGGCAGGTCCAGCGTGGGTCCCGAAGGATCCAAGGGCAGGTCCAGCATGGGTCCAGGAGGATCCAAGGGCAGGTCCAGCGTGGATCCAGGAGGATCCAAGGGCAGGTCCAGCGTGGATCCAGGAGGATCCAAGGGCAGGTCCAGCGTGGATCCCGAAGGATCCAAGGGCAGGTCCAGCGTGGATCCAGAAGGATCCAAGGCCAGGTCCAGTGTGGATCCCGAAGGATCCAGGAGGATCCAAGGGCAGGTCCAGCGTGGATCCAGGAGGATCCAAGGGCAGGTCCAGCGTGAATCCAGAAGGATCCAAGGGCAGGTCCAGCGTGGATCCTTGGTGATCCAAGGGCAGGTCCAGCATGGATCCCGAAGGATCCAGGAGGATCCAAGGGCAGGTCCAGCGTGGATCCAGGAGGATCCAAGGGCAGGTCCAGCGTGGATCCCGAAGGATCCCTGGCTGCCTGGAGCAGTTTGTGCTGGCAGCAGTGGTGGTGCCCTGGGTGCCTCAGGGCTGGCTCCTGGCTTGCCCCGTGCCCGCGCTCAGCTGTGCCCGTTTGTGCCCAGGCTGATCCCGGCGCACCCTGCCCTGGTGAACGCCATCGTGCTGGTGCTGCACTCGGTGGCGAGCAGCACCCCCCTGCCAGCCCCGGACACGTCCTCGCGGGCCATGGCCCTGGGCTCCTACCGGGACATGCCAGGTACGTCCACCTGCGAGGGGAACTCTCCTGGCTGCTCAGCCAAAAACTCCACAGGGATCTCACCTGCTCCCAATTCCTTCTTGTTTGCCACATCCTTTTATTCCCCTTTCTGGTGCAGGTGGCTTTCTCTTTGAGGGTCTCTCTGATGATGAAGATGACTTCCACCAGGTAAGCAGCCAGGTGGGGTGAGCACTTCTTTTTGGGTTTAATTTGTAGCCCTGAGACTCCCAAGCTCTTCCTTTCCTGTTTGGTGAGCAGCACAAGCTGCTCTGGCTCCCCAAGGGGATGTGGAGACAAACATATTGATCCTGGCTGCTTCCATGCTGCTCAGGAGAGGGTTTTCCTCAGTACTGAACACACAACAGGAAAATGGAACAGAGGAAATGCTCTCACAGCCATAGTGGAGCGTGGGAATGTTGATCCCGGCCTTTCTGCACTCTTCCTCTCCATAGGACAAAAAGTTCTGTATGAAAAACTGGATATATGGGTCCAAACGTGCATGTAGCAGGGAATTGTTTTGTTCCAGGCTAACATCACCCTGGTTTGGGGCTGGTGGATGATAGATTGAAAGGTTTCCTGCCAATTTCCACAGCTGACTCTGTGGAAAAAAAGCACATCCCACTCTGGCATGTTTGTCTTTCAGAACTTCCACCCTTGGGACATTTGGGTATGGTAGGACAGGGATCTGTGGTTTGACTGGGACACAAACACCGAGAGAGGTCACAGCTGGGGCTTTTCTCTCTCTCTCTCTCTCTCCACACAGAGCACCAGGTCCACCCCTTCCAGCAGCACGTCTGGCTCGCGCCCGGCCTCGCTGGGCTACGCGGGGGCGGCAGGGCCCCGGCCCATCACCCAGAGCGAGCTGGCCACAGCCCTGGCCCTGGCCAGCACCCCCGAGAGCAGCTCCCACACACCCACCCCGGGCACACAGGTAACACCTGCCTCTGCATTCCCTCAGGGATGGCTTCTCTTCCCTTTGATCCTACCCTGGGCACCCAGGGAACAGCCAGCACCAGTCCTGCTCTGCGCTGGCACACCTGGCTGTGCATTCCCTCAGGGAGGAGTTCCCTGTGTGACCCCATCCCTGGCACACCTGGCTGTGCATTCCCTCAGGGGAGAGTTCCCTGTGTGACCCCAGCCCTGGCACACCTGGCTCTGCATTCCCTCATGGAAGTATTCTTTCCCTTATGATGCCACCCCTGGCATCCAGGGAACAGCCAGCACCAGTTCTGCTCTGTGCTGGCACACCTGGCTGTGCATTCACTCAGGGAGGAGTTCCCTGTGTGACCCCAGCCCTGGCACACCTGGCTCTGCATTCCCTCAGGGCAGAGTTCCCTGTGTGACCCCATCCCTGGCACACCTGGCTGTGCATTCCCTCAGGGAGGAGTTCCCTGTGTGACCCCAGCCCTGGCACACCTGGCTGTGCATTCCCTCAGGGGAGAGTTCCCTGTGTGACCCCAGCACTGGCACACCTGGCTCTGCATTCCCTCATGGAAGTATTCTTTCCCTTATGATGCCACCCCTGGCATCCAGGGAACAGCCAGCACCAGTTCTGCTCTGTGCTGGCACACCTGGCTCTTCATTCCCTCAGGGCAGAGTTCCCTGTGTGACCCCAGCCCTGGCACACCTGGCTGTGCATTCCCTCAGGGAGGAGTTCCCTGTGTGACCCCATCCCTGGCACACCTGGCTGTGCATTCCCTCAGGGAGGAGTTCCTTGTGTGACCCCAACCCTGGCACACCTGGCTCTGCATTCCCTCAGGGATGGGTTCTCTTCCCTTTGTTCCCATCCCTGGCACCCAGGGAACAGCCCTGCTCTGGGCTGGCACACCTGGCTCTGCCTTCCCTCATGCAAATCCATGTGATCCTTATCTTCCACACAATCCCAGCACCCCGGGGACAGCCAGCACAGCCTGGTAGCTCTGGGGCACCTTCCTTCCCTCCTGGAGGAGCTCCTTTCCCCGTGGGATGGAGGGTGAGGGCTGCTGCAGGTGTTGCTGTGTGCTGGTTCCTTCTCCTGACCTGTCACCTCCTCCTAGGGCCACTCCTCCGGGACGTCCCCGATGTCATCCAGTGTGCAGTCGGGGACACCCATCACCAACGACCTGTTCAGCCAGGCCCTCCAGCACGCCCTGCAGGCCTCAGGGCAGCCCAGCCTCCAGGTCAGTGGCAGCCCCTGGAATCCTGCACCCCCTGGCATCTCCCAGCTGCCTCCTGTGGTGGGACATCAGCCTGGGAGGGGCACCACTGGTGCCTTTTTGGGCTACCTAAAAACAGAGGCCAGACAACATTAAGGGAATAAAAAGCAATTATATTTATTGAAGGGCCATTTGGGGCAGATAAAGCCTCCCAGGGGCTACACCCAAAAATGGGTGATGGCTCATGGGTTTTCAGACTTCTGTAAATTTGGTCCATTTGCATATTGGGGGTTAATCTTCTAATTACAGCTTCAGGTAGTGAAGTCATTTACCCCAAGTCTCTAAAAACAGAGGCCTGACAAAATTAAGGGAGGAAAAAGCTGTTCTATTTATTGAAGGGCCTTCAGGTACATTTGGGGCAGGTAAAGCCCCCAGGGGCTACACCCAAAAATGAACAATGGCTCACAGGTTTTCACACTTCTATAAATTTGATCCGTTTGCATATTGGGGGTTAATCTTCTAATTACACCTTCAGATAATGAAGTTATTTATCCCCAGTTTGCTCCTCCAGCTCCCTTTTGTTTACATTTCTGGGGCCTGAGGCAGAGAGATGTCCTTGATTGCCAGGCCTGGAGAGGAATTGTTGTGTCTGCCCAAAATGGGAAAGCAGCAGCTCATACTGTATATGGAGTTTAGAATTATACAAAGAATTACAGGATTACAAATGTAAGAAAAATATAAAAGCTGAAGTCCTAAGGCATCATCACAGCCACTGCAGAAGTACTGGGTGGAACTGGAATGGAGGTGTTATAAATGCATATTTTATTGTTGGCTTTTTGCAAATATTAAGATAAATACTATATGTAAAATGTTAAAAGAATTTTTATTTCTGCTACTAACAAAAACCTTAGACATAGTAATAGTAGTAGCTAATATAGTTATAAATGAACTCTTTTTAATCAAGATAACATCCAGTAAACATATAATGAAGACCTTGCTATTAATATGCTATCAACATTTATCATCTGAAGAAAGTAGACTTAAATCCCAGACTAAAAGTAATAAAGAAAAAAAGCCAAAACCACAACTAAGAAACATGCATACTCTAAAAAAACAAACCCAAAGAAGAGCCACAAAATTATACCTAAAATATATAAACTAGTTTATAGAAAAATGTAAATATACATAAGAATCTATGAATATACACGCTAACGTAATAGAAAAAGTATTTTAAAAATATCCCTGAAAGTAAGTGTGCTCTTGGCTGAGTTCCAAGATGCACCCAGCCATAATCTTTACTATCTTTATCTCTTATTGTCTTTTATTAAACTTCTAAATTTTACCAAAAAAAAAAAAAACAAACCCCCTTTTTCACAGAGGGGTGGTGGCTTTAGGGACTTTGCAGCATCACTGAGCTTTCAGGAGCTGTTTGCACAGGAGCTGCTGAGGTGGGTGGGAAACAAGTTCACTCTCCTATGAAAATGTCAACATTTAAAAACCACATTTTGAAAGTAAAATAATATAGTGAAATAATATTTTGAAAGTAAAATAAGTAGGAGACAAGGACCATAGAGCAAAGGTTATTACTATGAAAAACATGTTCACTCTCCTGTGAAAGTGTAAAAAGTTTAATAAAGGACAATAGGAGACAAGGACCATAGAGGAAAGGTGATTATGGCATCAGCCAAAAGGCCCCTGTAATCTTTGGGGATATGTCCTGGTTTAGGGCAAATTTAACCCTAACCCCTTAAAAACCTTTTAATTACATCAGCCCTTTGCATATTCACAGGCCCTTGTGCACAGTAAACTTTTCCCCGAAGTGGTTTACGTGTTCCAGGAATTGTTTAGCACATCTCTTCTTTGGATCTGCTTTGTTAGAGCACGTGGATTCCTGGATTGTGGTTTCAGTCCCTTCTTATCCCCTCCAGTTCTGGGCCCTGGCCCACACTGCCCTCAGAGGGTGAGTGCTGCTGGCTGGCACAGCTGTGCAGGTGTGCTCACCCTGTGTGGCAGATGTGCCCAGGTGTGCTCACCCTGTGTGTCACAGCTGTGCAGGTGTGCTCACCCTGTGTGGCAGATGTGCCCAGGTGTGCCCACCCTGTGTGTCACATCTGTGCAGGTGTGCTCACCCTGTGTGGCAGATGTGTCCAGGTGTGCTCACCCCGTGTGTCACATCTGTGCAGGTGTGCTCACCCTGTGTGGCAGATGTGTGCAGGTGTGCTCACCCTGTGTGTCACAGCTGTGCAGGTGTGCTCACCCTGTGTGTCACAGCTGTCCAGGTCTGCTCACCCTGTGTGGCAGATGTGCCCAGGTGTGCCCACCCTGTGTGTCACAGCTGTGCAGGTGTGCTCACCCTGTGTGTCACAGCTGTGCAGGTGTGCTCACCCTGTGTTCAGTGGGTGTTATCCCATCCCAGCAGGCACTGTAACACTGCACACTGATAGCAGCTGCTGCACTGAGCTTCATGAACAGAAATGAAATCCATATCTTTATAACAAAGTCACTTGAACACCACACATCTAAAATCCATTTTAATATTTGCAAAAAGCCAATATTATAATGTGTATCTATAACAGGTGGGACACTGGGCAGTGGGAAGGTCTGCTGGCTTTTTTGCTGGGTTCTCACACCAAACCTGCTGAGATTCTCATCCCAAACTTCTCTTTGCTGTGAGCAGAGCCAGTGGCAGCCCCAGCTGCAGCAGCTGCGAGACATGGGGATCCACGACGACGAGCTGAGCCTGCGGGCCCTGCAGGCCACAGGAGGGGACATCCAGGCTGCCCTGGAGCTCATCTTTGCTGGGGGGGCCCCCTAAATCTTCTGCTGGACTGGTGAGTTGTGCTGAGGCAGCAGCTGGGTTGGTTCTGTGTGTGGAGAGCACTGAAAGCAGCTCCAAATCCTCTCTCCGACCTCCTCAGGACTCAGCACGGAGAAGGGAAGAGGTGGCTCGGTGCTGGAGATGTGGCCCCTCCAGCTGTGCAATGTTTTATCTGTCACCACCCTCTGCCTGTTGTTTCATTCCCTCCATTAAATGGACCCTGCTCAGCTCCCTGCCTGCTGTGTGGGTCGTGCTCTGTCCTGGCTTGTGTTGCAGATCCCAGCAGGGCAGGAAGGGGAAGCATTGCTGGCCAGGGGTTATGTACAGATCATGAACAGGACAGGACTGCTGAGGAACACATCTCGAGCTGTTTATTTTCCAGCATCACTCTCATTGCATGGATATGACAATGGGAAGATGCCAGCAGCTGACAAAGAACTTAATGTTACAACTCACTTAAAAGTTTTTTGACCAATCCCACAAAGCAGAAGCACATTGACAGCAGTTCTATCCAACCACTATAAGCACATGTACCTTTGGTTAAAACAATGCTTGCTTATTTCAAATACAATACCTGCTTGTAAGCCTTAAATCACAATGCACAGAGCTCCATTATTAAGCTTAGAACGTCCTCATATCTTGCTAGATAAACTTTTCTGCAGCTTAGAGAGTTATTCTAGCCGAGTGTTAATACACAGACCATTGTTCTAGTTGTCCTTATTTTCTACATCTTATATAACTTTTCTGCTGACAAATCTTATGGCTCTCACTTAGCTCTAATTGCAGTTCTGCTGTCTCTGAGCCCTGCCTTTTGCAGCGTTCCCAAAACCCTCTGATTTTAAGGATTCCCACAAACTGCAGGAACAGCTCTGCCTCGGTGGGATGTGGTGCTTTCAGCAGAGGGCACGGCCACCACGAGGTGACAGTGACAGAGAAATGACAAGGGCTGAGTGGGAGCTGGAGCAATGCCCGGTGTGGGTTGCACCACGTGCCGCGGCTGCAAAGCCAATTAACAGCGTTCGCCTGTAATTGCAATCAGAGGGGGCAGCGAAAAGCCAGGCCTGGAGCTGGGCCCGGCATCGCTGGGATTGCGCGCCGGGGTTAACGAGGCGTGAAAACGGCAGCGGGTTCTCGGAGCAGAGAGCGCTCTCCTGCCTCACCTCCAGGCTGCTGTGCTGCCCTCTAATCCCTGCGCAGCTCTGTGATCCTCGCTGATAGCATCTCGGTGTCACCCTGCAAACGCGGGATTGTTCTCTGCGGGGAGCCCTGCGCTGATAGGCTTTAATCCTGTCGAGAGGATTAATGCCCGAGGGAGGGAGGGAGGGAGGGAAGGAGGGGCTGGTTTTGTGCTCAGTCTGGAGCAGATAAGATGTGATGGACATAAATGGCTTTCCTGACACCCTCCTGCGTCCCTGCCCTCGGCACGCACACGGATTTTATGTGTAAGAAAACTGATTAATCCCTTCCCATCCCTGGATCCTGCCTTTGCAGGGGTAGCACAGAGCACAGCACCCTCCTTTCCCCTGCTGGCAGCCCCAATCCTCCGGGATAACCACGGATTAGCCGGATCACAGATGCTCCTGCCCAAAGCTGGGGAGCATTGCAGGCTCTCCCGGCCACCAGCACGTCCAGTTTGCCTTCCTGCACCACCTGAATTCTCAATTTAGGGCTCATAGCTGTCCCAAAACAGTGGTTTTTGTGTCAGTCCTGAGATTTTTTGATCCCTCTGTTGACCCACGTTTGGCATGAAGCCGCTTTTGCTGCTATTTCTGCTTCCCAACGCCCCCAGCGAGCTGAAAACCGCCTGGAATTTTTTGGGGTTTTTTTTTGGGCTGGAAGTGACTTTTCCCAGATTTCCTCTCCCAAACGGCAGGGCTTGGCTGGGAGCAGCAGCTCAGGCACATGCACTGGCTGCAGCAGAGGAGAAGTTGGCAGCGCTGCCGCTCACGACATCGCTTCCCTCGCCCGGCAGAGCCGTGCCTGAGCACAGGGGGAACTGCGGGGAGGGGGGAGAGGCTCTGCTGCCTCCTGCACGGCTGGGCAGCGCCTGAGCTCTGCTGCAGCAGCTCCTGCAGCACACAGGGAACTCGGAGCGGGCTGGGAGTGGTTCTGCAGCCGCCCCGGGGCTGCACGTTCCTGCTCCCAGCCTCACGTGGGAGGGATGCTCAGGGGCTCTGCAAGGGCAGGAGCAGCAGAACAGCAGGGAAAGGCTTGAAAGGAGAGGGTTAGGTTGGGTACCAAGGAGGAATTGTTCCCTCTGAGGGTGGGCAGGCCCTGGATCCCTGGCAGTGCCCCTGGCCTGCTGGGAGGTATCCCTGCCCATGGCAGGGGTGGAATGGGGTGGCTTTAGGGTCCTTGTCACAAACTGTGAGTGGCTGAGGGTGACAGAGACAGAGCAAACTGATGCCTGTTCTGTGTGCTCCATCCCTGTGCCCCTCCTGCCACGTTGGAAGCAGAGTGGATCTGCTCTGCTTGGCTCTCAGTTCATCCCTCCTGCCCCTCTCACACTCCCTTCTCCAGCCCAGCAGCCCTGGCTGGGCTTTGCTGGGAGCACACTGGGAAGTAGGTGTGGCCTGACCCTGGAAGAGCAGGAGGTCAGGCCACAGTTCCCCGGCGTCAGCAGGGACCTTCTGTTGGGGACATCAAAGAGCTGCTCTTGGTCTGCTTCCCTGCTGGCCTCACTGGGGCTGCCAGGGGAAGCTGTGACAGCAGGGATGGATGGCAGCAGCTGCTTTTCCTCCCCTGTTTTCCATAATCCTGTTTTTCATCCCACTGCTGGACACCTGGAGGGGGTGGAGGTTTGGCTGGGCCCTGCACCATGTGTTTTCTGGAGCCCTTCTTCTCCTTGTCTCTCTCATTTTGGGCTGATTTGTCTCTGGTGGTTCATTTTCCAGCAAAAAGGTGGAGTGGAGGCAGAGCAGAATCTCCCAGGTGGCTTTTGCAGTGCCTCAAGCAATGTTGGACAGATTTCCATGGGATAATGTTGGCTCCTTGCTCCCCCAGCCTGACTATTCCCACTTTGTCCCAGTCACATCCTGGAGCTCCACACCTTGCCCTGAGCATATAAATTGCAGAAAATTGGTGAAGGTGACTTTCCCTGATTCTCCAGGATTTGTTGGGCAGGTACATCCAGCAGGAGCAGCAGCAGGAATTTGTCTGGCACAGCCTTTGCCCATCAACTTGCTTTTTTTGCAGAGGTTTTCTGGCTGCTCCCAGCTTTGTCCTTGTAGGAAAGGCCAAAACACACCAAAAATTGGAGTTTTTCTTCCTTTCCCAGCTCTGTGCTGGTTCAGTGAGCTGAGGGGTCTCAGGGAGGGGACAAAAGAAGAAGGGACAGAGGTGTCCTTGGCAATAAGGACATTTTGGTCTTACTCTTTCTCAGGGAAACTCTGGAGAAAGGAGCAAAGTTCAGATTTGGGACAGCTGATGAGGTGAGAGCACAGAGACAGGGCAGGTGACACATGCCTGTGACCTGTGTCCTGTGGGGTTTGCTCCCTTCCCTGCCATGAATCACCATTTTCCTGTAAGAAGTGACAAAAAAGGAGCTCTGATTTCAGCCCTCAGAGCTCCCTTTTAAGGTTACAGAGTTGAGGCCCCACGTGATCCACAATAAAAACCAGGCAACTATTTTAATTTGTGAAAGCAGAAATGGGCTGAAAATGTCACCCTGTGAGAATATTTCTATTTCCTTATGTTCCCTTTTATATTTATAGTGTTCTAATATTCATAAACGTGTCCCAAAATCCCTTTGAGAGGGTTTTTCCCCCCCCTCTATCTGTGAAATAAATGCTGATTTAAGAGCAGGGTCTGCTGGTTCAGCAGGGATGAATTAATTCAGGGGTTGAGTTGGAGCTGTGGGGTTCCACTCCAGGAGCCATAAAAGCATCAGAAGGGATCCAGAATTCCTTTTTTTTCCTTCAAGGGCCAAGAACAGAGCCTGGAGCACAACTTTGGAGCAGAGAAAAACCCATTTCTAAGAGATTTTCCAGCATCTGGCTGTCAGAGGTTGGGGTACTTTCAGAGCTGGGTGTTGGGAACAGAGCCCACACGAGGTTTGTCCTTCAACTGGCCAATCTGTGGCCTCTGTGTCACCCCTGGGGATGGCCTCAGGTGCCAGGAGGAGCTGTGGGACTGGGGCAGGTCCTGGGTGCCAGTAAAGCTTTGAGGGTTCCTTTTGGGGTGCACTGGGGCAGGAGGAGGTGACAAGGACAGGGCAGCCAGCAAGGACATTGTCCCCTGATGTCACTGGGGCAGGAGGAGCCAGGCCAACAGGTCCCAGCATTTCCCTGCATGGTGCTGGATTAAAGGTCTGGAATGTTCTGCCCAGGGAGGTGATGGAGTCCCCATCCCTGTGTGTGTTTAACAAAGCCTGGATGTGGCACCGGGTGCCAGTTGAGGTGTTGGGGCTGGGCTGGACTTGATGACCTTGAAGGTCTCTTCCAACCTGGTCATTCTGTGATTCTGTGAATTCTGTGGATCTGTGTGCTGTTCCTGGGGAGGGAAGCAGTGCTGGCCTCTCAGGACCCCTTTGTGGGGTTTTTCTGGCTGCCCTGAAGCTCTGACCCCAGAGGATTCTCAGTTACACATCATTTAATCACCTCAGCTCCTGCCAGCTGCTGTCTGCTCAGATGAGTTCCCAGCTGTTTTAATGCCTTGTGAAGGCTGACCTAGAGCAGAGGCTAGACAGAGCTAAAGAATAAAGCAGGGATTTATTAAAAAGCCTCCATGGATCCACCTTGGGCAGCACAAGAGCCCAGCCAGGGCTGCACCCAAGGTGAACCCAAAATGGTCACAAAAATGGACAACTGCTCATGGGGTCTCTCACTTTTGTAAGTTCTGCTCCATTTGCATATTGGAGTTAATTGTCCAATTCCAGCTTTAGCCCATGCAGTCCCATCCTTGTTTTCTCTCTTCTTGTTTATGCCCTTGGGCCTGAGATTTGGATCCTTTGTCCTTGGTCCCCAGTGGAGCAGGAATTGTTTTGTCTCCCTGCTCTGTGCACAGAGCTCACCATCCCATAATATGAAGCCCAGACCCACACAATAAATCCAAAAAATAGAAAAGCTAAACCTGAGGCATCAGTTTTGTTCTCCCCCCACCCAATTCCTCATCCCCATTTTCCTCCCTGAGCTGATCCCTGTCCCAAAAGGGCCCTGTGGGACCGGGCTGGCCCCACAGCAGGTGACAGGCGGCACCAGGAAGGACAGATGGGACATGGGAAGAAAGGAA